TATGACTATTAACGTAAAAAAAGTTACATGGTTAAGCTTTGATTGATTTTTATTTAATAGCTTTTCACTTAGATAGGTACACGTGATCTTTTATTCATTGTAAAAAAGTTTTATTAATGTTGATTCATTACAGCATGTGAGAAATAAATTGAAACTATACATAAAATACGTTTTTTTTATAAAATCATAAAATTTAATGTAAAACGAAAAATTAAAATAAGACTTTTAAAAACCATAATATGTATAAATAAATATTCAAAATTGTTTTGTTTCAATTTTTTCAGAATTAATTATAGTATGAATTATGCAGTTTATTGTAATATCTATTTACCTTAAAAAATAGACTGAAATAATAATATATTGAGAACATTCCGATTAAACAAAATGTAAAATTATTTTCGTATTATTTTCTAAATAAAATTAAAAAACAAATTCCAAAATACCTCATAAGATTATATCTTAATTATCGGATAATAATTATTTATCTATGGATACATTATACAATTCGTGTAATAGTGAAACTAAATTTTATATTAATTTTATTAATAATAAATTGTGAGTAGGAATGAGATTTACGTTACTAAAATATAGGTAAATTTGAAACATAATTAATATGAAATTTTATTTCCGGAATAAAATATTCAAAGAATTTTTTTTAAATAAAAAATATTTTAAAACTATTACATACATTGACACGCTAAAGATAAAAAATAAAAAAAAATAATTAAAGTACACATATATCATACTATTTATATAATAGTGTTTATAACATTACATTTTTAAATACTTTTCAATATTATACAATATTAGGTTGTAGATTTCAAGTATATTGTTGCATCACATTAATAACAATATTGGTTAAATATTTTGATCGAGTTAATAATATTAGCAGTTAATATTTGGAAAAACCACTTTATATAGTCCTATTATATAATATATGTATATTAATAGTTTTGTCCTTTATTTAAATGTATTATTTTACCGTATTTTGATTTAATTATTTCTAGATTATTAATAATAGTTAAATATCACAGTAAAATTTTTAACTTGACATTCGGAAAATTCTAACAGAAAAAATTAAAATTGCTTTGGATAATTAATATATTGTATGTTAGCCCCCAATTCTGAATTCATTGTCTTTATCAGAATAATGCATTCGCTACATTGAACCGTTGTAATATACTTCCAAAGTTGTTATTTATAATTATAGTCAAAGAATATCAGCTCTTTATTATAACTTCAGTTAGAGTGCATAAATATTTCAATGAATTTTCTGTAAACTTTAGAAGGTAACGATTAAACAATCGTTGTTCTACGAGTTAGAATGTAATTTCGATTTGCACTACTAAAGTCTTTAATTTAAATTTTCTGTAAATTATTAAAATAATAATTACATTTACGATTTTATCAAAAACTTTATTAACTCGTATGTTCATCCAAGGTATAAATATGTACACCAAATTAACACCAGATTCTTATTCATCTTGCCTGAACATTTGAATTAGTCTTATGATTTACTGTGCATATTTATTTTTATACTTTTTAATGGTCACACAATTCGTTCATTGAATTCGTAATATATGAATTCAAACTATAAATTATGATTATTTTATCCGTAACATAAAATTATTATGTAGTTGACATAAAATAAGACAGTTGATGTGAGTAACAACTACTTTTAATTGGAAAGTTATGTACAAATGATGTTCACTAAAAGTAGACGTTTTCAAATTTTATTTATCTGTCAATTTAATTCGTTAAAACAATATTTAATATGTAAATATATGTATTTTTTTGCTTATAGTATACATTTTATAATTTGCATTATATATTGATATTGTTTAATATAGTTTTTATTGAATTTGCATATGAAATCAATACTATAGCGAATATTGTATTATATAACACCTGAGTAGTTCTGTATGCGATTATACCACCGTTTAAAATTAAAAATTTGTTGATGAAATGAAATAGATTTTTGCTTAGGTTATTTTAATAAGTAAAATTATAAAATACGTATCATTTAAAATCATATTTATTCATTTGATATGCAATGATTTAGATTTTAGCAATTTATGTCGATTAATAAATTGTATCCACATATGAATATTGAAATGCATGCTTATAAATGTTATATTTAATATGCTTTATAGTACCTAATATTATTTTCTATAAATAAAAACCATTAAAGTTAATTTTATTGTATTAGTATTTAACTGAACCGTGTACATCCAAACAAATTACCTACCTTATTTGTTCGATGTAAATTATTAGCTTGATAGTGAATATGAAACAAAGATAAAGATGATTTATTATTAAATGGCAACATTACAATGTCACGAATTTCTCGATGAAAATTACTAGTGTAATTAAAGTAAAAAGTAGTCTGGTAGTTGTGGCAAAATTAAAAGTTAGATGTTTATTTTTAAAATTATTATGTCAAAACCGAGAACATATAATAATTACTACAAAAGGCTTTTCATTGGAACATACGTGAAGATGGTTAAGTAATTTCTTCTAAACAAAGTTTTGAATAAGATTATATACATTTTTCATTTTATATATGAATATAAAACTAAATTTTAATATTTAATTAATATCAACGCATATTTTGTTTCTGAGTTGTTTATGTGTTATTAATTTTTTAACATCATCACGCGATATATTTTTGTTGTCAGTAATTACACGGGTATTGTGATTTTTTAAATAATTTATCAATATTATTAAATTGTTACGGTTTAATTGTTTTTTTTTTTTTTTAACATGAATAAAAAAAAAAACTTAGTTGTACGAATTCATTTCATTTATAAAACTTTAAACTATTCATACTGGATATCTAGGAGATTTTTATGTCAATACTTATAACATCATATTTTAGTGCTTAAATTTTTTAAATATTCATTAAAATATCTTATCATTAATCAATTATAGTAGATTCTCACGTACATTAAAATGTTATTAACAATTGATTAAATTAATCGTACATAGAACTTGACTAAATACAAATTCGAGCAATATTTATATTTATATATATATATATATAAATATATTTATTATTATTATTATTTAAGAAAATTAAGACACATTAAGTGCGTGAGTATTAACTGGTGATCATACGTATGATTTACATAATAAATTACATAAATATTATATTATGTTTATGTGTATTCATTTATTCATTACATTACTGAGTTAATAGAATTCAGCTTTATTTATGAAATTTATTAGTTTTTTAAATATTTAATTAGTGTTGATAACTATGATATTATTCTAATTAACGTCTGAAAATTATGACTGAAATGTATCCAAATCAACTTTAATTTGTTAAAAACATGCGCGGTTAATACAATTAAAAAATATAGCAGTTGGTAGGTAGAGTGTATAGTGGGCGTTCTATTAAAAGGCACTGAGTCATTCTTTCTGAACTTAAAGGTGGGAAAGCAAAAGTAAAATTACATTTTATGCGCTTTTTTATTTTCTTATGAACGCATAACTTGGTTTTGTGGGTCTAATTTTTTCCATTCAACCAATGTAATGTTACAGAAATCGCGCTGTTTCAAAGACAAGTCACGCATTAGTAATAAAGTCAATTTTGAAAAAAAACTCAGTCTTTTAACCAAAGTTTGTAAATATAACTGCTATGGTTATCAATAATATATCATTTAAATCTTAATGTGAAGTATAAAATAAAATCAAACTGTGTAATTTAATTTTAGAGTCTAAGTAATAAATTCAATCTTTTTTATGATAACTTATTTAATAAATAAGCATTAAAATTATTTTGTTTCAACTAAAAATATATTAATTTTAGGTTGGTGGTTAATACTACTATAAGTGCAGTTAAATAGATATTTTTAAAATTATTATCTGTGTCGATGTGTATCTAAAAGGTGAAATTTAATGATCATATCAAATATTTACTACTTGATAATATACGCTTACTGTTTTATCTATTGTTGAATTATATATTTTAAGTAATAATAGGTACCCGTATGATCAAAATGTACTGCTGTTATTTTTACAGTCATAGCGCTAAATAATTCCAAAACCAGTTTAAAAGGTCGGTAAAATGAGAAAAATTGGGCCCAAAAATGAAATCAATATAATAACATTTTTAAAATCATAAAAAAAAAAAGTAGGTATACAACATTTTTTTAACTTTATACAGTTATTTCAACAATCACTATTACAAAATATCAAAAAATGAAGAAGATGTCAAGTGTAATAAATTACTAAAAAATATTAATGGAGATAGTTGATAATGTTTTAAAAATATTAAATAATTTAAGATATTATTCAAGCGTTCAAATTTAATTATGATTATTTTTTCATTTAAAAAATAAAAGATCTACATTTTAATGCGTAAAATGATTTATTATATCAATTAATTTAGTAAATAATAATATAATATTTGATCACATTTTTTCTATCATTTTTAAAAGTGGTTATTAGAGGCTTATCACAGGTGAATCGACCATCCAAAATGTATGGTTTGTTTGAGCCAATTGTTTACTACACCGTTTAAGTGAATAAGTATGAATAGGTTTATCAGTTAATTGGTATATTATGTATTGTTTAGTAATGTATTATAATGACCTTTTTTAATTGAAAAATAAAAATATTAATTGTGGACTCAAACTTTTAAAGGTATATATGTAGTAATATTGTGATTTACTAATGTACAGTAAAAAATATTAATAAAATAAATCTTTTGCGCATTAAAGTCAATTAATAGCTGGTATCGCTCTCGTCGGTAAAAATAATTTAAACCGTCTAGTGTTAAAATGGTATCACACCATTTATATCTCGGCCTTAATCCGGTGCCGCTAGATCGTAATAATAGTTGAGATAAGAAAAATAATAAAGTTTAAGTAGGTTATATCATTAAGTAGGTACCCCCGCCTGCTGATTAATCGGCTACACTCATTTATTACAGCACGCGCTGTACCTTACCCTACCTAAACCAATTTAACCTCAATTTGGGCATGTCCTGGTTTCAGATGTGTTCCTGGGACCGGTGTGCGATTACGTGATCGCTCCCGTGTCGCGTTACGCGGGCAAGTGGAAGATACCGGTGCTGACGGCGGGTGCGCTGGCCGAGAACTTCGACAACCGTTCCGAGTATCCGACGCTAACCAGGATGATGGGCTCGTACAAGTTGGTAGGGGAGGCGCTCCGGCACATACTGCACGTATTCGGCTGGAACGTGGCTGGTTTGCTGTACTACAATCACGGGCTCAATTCGCTTATGGGAAACTCAAAGTGTTATTTCACGCTGTCATCCGTGTTTTTCGCGCTGGGCTTGAAGCCCGTGTACAAGAGCTTTAACGACACCGACAGTAGAGACTCATTCAAGACTTTGCTCACCGAATTATCGCACAACGCACGAAGTGAGTGTCGTCGGTTTATAAGCGTCGCGTCGTTGTCGTCGTCGTCGTCGTCGTCGCTGCCACCCGTTCACCACATTAATAATATTATCATTTAAAATCAAATCATATTTTGACGATTTAAAAATCATTCAGTAGATTTAAATTAAAAAAAATATTGATTTTTATTTTTGTCCCCCGATTAAAACGAAATATCAAATATTTCTCCTTTATAATAATGTGTTTTCAACAAGAAAACGACGATTTTTAGAGTTCATAAGAAATGTCAAAAATCTGACCAATTCTTTTTGACCTTGCGCCGAAGATATGTTTATCCGAGTGCACCTATTTTACGATTTGCGACTGGTGTAGTTTTGTTTCTACGACTTTCGGTTGTTGGTGTCATTCTACGTATAACGCTATTTATAGTTGCAAAAATTCTCATCAAAAAGTTCCAAAACGTTTTTAAACTTATACCATTATTTAAATTTTTCTAGTCTCACAACTTAGAACGTCTTATTGTTAGTAAAGGCTGAAAACAGAAACAAGTTCCGTTGTCATAGATAATAAATTATCATGAGCGTTTTATAAAAAAAATAGTTTTGCCTAAGAGGTTGTGATGGTTGAATGATTTTTTAAAGTTATATTTCTTTTAATTCGAACTAAAAACACATAACTGCGAATACCCATTTAATTTTGTAAGAAAATATCTATAAATTGACCATCGATATTATTAGTATAACATTCCAATTGTTACCTTATTAATTCCCGTGATTAAATTTATTACTATTAACATGATTATTTTTTTTTTTTTAAAGATGACTGATTATTATAATAATTATATAGGTTAATTTGTGTGATCTTGCTCCTGCACGAGTATGTTGGATTTAAAATAAACATTATATTTTACATAAAACTCATCTCTTTAGTAAATATAAAAATTGTATTTCTTTGAGATTTATATTTTTTTGCAATGGATAAAACGTTCTTAGCTATATTAACCGTAGAATGTTCATCTTCATTGACATTGATGTTTTCATAGAGAAAAAAATAATAACTTTTTGATAGAACTGTACCTTATGATGATCAGTCATTTACATTGAATTCTACCTCCTTGTGTTCATTTTTCTTGTTTTTTGATCGATTCTGTTTATATCAAAACAAGTTCAAAAGTTAAATTTGGTTAAAAATCCATCAAGCAGTATTATATTAAACTAAATAGATTACTTTTTATGTTATCGAGTACAAAGACTTTTATAAAAAAATGTCAAATACTTATTGAATTGTATATGTATTTATATGTATAGATATATTGCTATCATGTTATCTATATAAACTATTTGAAAGTGTTTGCTAAAAAGGAATTACATACACTCAAAATACTTAAAAATATAAAATATAATTCGTGCGTAAGTTAAATGTTGATTATATTATGAATACAGTGTAAATAGAAAAGTATTTTCTTTTCATGTACTTGATTCGGTTAGTCAAAAACTGTAAGTGTAAAAATAAATTTAATGTATGTTATACATTTAACAGTTTACCCATTTTCGTTGGTTATACTAAAAAAACCATTTTTATTGAATAATAAATGAATACTGGTTAAATACAAAAAAAGTAAAGATATAAAAGATTAAAATACATTCAAGCTAAATACCTTGAAACGATACTGTCATGGTCTAGACTTCAAAAGTATTAAAATAATTATCAGAAAAATAAATAGTAGAAAAAACAGATTTCGAGACACATTTTAATATTTATAATTACTCAACTTAATATTTTTTCGAACAAAAATTATTATTATTATTAGTACTTACAAACATTAATTAATATCAAATTAAATGATATATATTGATTAAATTGTATGTTTTAAATACCAAAAACAATATCTGTTAAATCTAATCAGCAGATTTAAATTAATTTGGCCAAGGAATAAATTTTATAGTAATTTATTCTGTAAAATTATCAATATTGTTCAAATAATGAAAAGGTGAAACTAAGATAATTTTAGAAAAATAACATATTTGTACTAACTATATTATAAACGGTGTACTGTGTCTATGTGTAAAGGGATGTGCGTCTGATGATTTTTGACAAGCTGTTGTAATCGAATAAAATCTAAACGAACAGTGCTTAAACAATAAACATAGAAACCAAGAAGTGTTTGTAAAAACGTTTACCAAATTGATTTTCGAGATTATTGTAACTCACTACGACGACAATATCTCTACAAAACAATCAGTTACCACCCTACATTTCGGATGCATGAATACTCAGCAATAAATTGCTTAATTTAAAGTGTCCATTAGTCATTACTACATGTGAGACAGGCATTTTACGTGGTATTTTTTTATTTTTAAGCAATTGCTAACAAAAAATCGTATTCATTTAATGTTCTATTAACAACGTTTATAAATATTAACGTCGATATTTTTGCAGTAAATTGTATTTTTTGTAACGCGAGACAAATCAACAACTGTGACGGGTATTTTGTTTACTCCACGCCCTACAGTTACACTTTAGATCAATCGGCACATGTTTATTTACGAGTAATATGCACCGACGTCGCGTAATGGCTGCCGCTTTTAATACATTTCTATTTCGTTTCAAGCGCATAGTGTTCGTATAAACGAGGATGCCACCGCGTCATTTAATTACGGCCCGTAGCGCCATCGTTTCTGTGAACTGTCCTGCCGTGAACTTCAGCAGCGTTGGTGGTTTCGTATAACTCTAATAATATTGTTCGTCATCTGCGGCGTACTCGGGGCGTCCGTTTCTACCACTTCTCATCTCACTGCTGTTGCGATATACCTAGTAGTTTACAATGTACACGCAGGAAACGACCGCAGTGAATGGTGAGTGGTGACTTAAACGTGCAAGATGTATATATTTTATTTGCCCCCCCTCCTCTTCTTTTGATTTTTTGTTGAACCTTTGTTCAGCCATCGTTGCCGGTTGCTTGATCAAACTATCAAAATAATGTTAACAACCCCCATTTGAGTAATCGACATCGTTTTGAACCGTACTTTACACGCACAAAATAACAAAATAAAAATAAAAAACGCCATTAATGTTGTGCACACCTAATAAAATATCATGGTTACAATGGACAACGAAGAATAACCGTATAGCCTGCTAAGTAAAAATTATTTTGTTCATTAAACGTTTGTTGAACGAGTATAGAGTTATTTTTTGTTGTCCTGGTTTTGAAATTACTTTGTTAATAAATTTTAAATTGAAATTGTTCTCCATCTAGATAATTTGGTCGACTTTGAATATTATTTTTCATGGTCCTAATAAGTAAGAATTATGTTAATGATGTATTTTATGGTCATTCAAAATATATTTTTATTTTATTTCATTTATTATTCATTAAAATTTTATCTTTACACCCACAGATCTTAGCTTTTTATTAGATAGATAATAGATACATAATAATTCTTCACGCAATCAATACTTTAGTTTGATATTGATAATATATATTCCTAAAGTATTATAATAATTAAAAATAAACGACATATGCAGGACTAGAATAATATTCGAATTTAATTATAATATATAATTGCATTTTAATTTCCTTAATATTACGATTATGTTATATTTACTCTGACATATAACATAGAATTGATCATTAGTGTTATTACTTATTAGTTATGACTAATTTATAAATATTTCTGCAGATAGATTTATTAATGTATCTTCATTTTAAAGCAGGTTTTTAATTTAAAAAATAAATAATCCATTATATAAAATAATTATATAGTTTTTTAATATTATTATTGAGCATATTAAATAATGAAATCGTTTAACATAATAGCGAAATAATTATATTGAAACACTACTGTTTTTTTTTTTTTTTTTATTATTATTGCTACGAGTCAAGCCGTATTATTTATGCATTGTACTCAGGTAATGATGAAAACATTTGTAATTTTATGTCTGTTTTTTATAACTTCCCAGGAAAAAATAGCACTTTATTTCAATTCAAGTAGTATGCGTCAAGTTCACGAATTTCGAGGGATGATGTCAGTACGAAAAATTAACCGTAGACACGCTAACGGTTTAAGACCCCAGTAAAAGATTGTAATTTATTTGCTACGTTTAGTTTATAGTTTCGCCTTAGTAGGCCAGATTACAATGTCGAATTGGGCTTCATAATCAATTTGTAGAGTTTTTACTCAGTAGGCTGATTTGTAATAGTTAATGTCGAACAGGAGTAGAAAGCATTAAATTGAAGACTTGTAATGGATAAGTAAAATCGTAAATCATGTGTATAACAGATGTATATACATGCGGATAACATGTAGGTGAGGAATGAATTCCCGAATGTGTCTTTAAATTTTATTAATCAATGTCATCTACATTTCCAAAATTAAATCATGTCAACACTATAAATATTTATTTGTTATTCCAAAAACTTTATACAAATATTGAATATGCGCTCATTTTTTGTAGACAGTTTAAATTTTTTAATTTTTATATCGTAAATCAGTGTTATTTTTATGTAAAGATTTTTTTTTTTGTTATGATAAACTTGCAGAATTTATTGTTGATCTTGAGTATAATTTTGTTTTTTAGTATTTCATTTTAAATTGTACCCTTATAAATAACTATATAATATATAGTATATAACTTTAAAACATATTATAACAATTCGTTTACATTTTCTAACGTAAGCTTTGAAAAAAAAAATATGAATTTACGTATACCCTTGAATTCCACTTTTTAACAATTTCTATTAAAGCCAAAAGGATTGGATATTTTTTCTTAAAGTACGGCAGTGAGTTCTTGGATTTGATTTTATAAATAAAATTCGTGAAATTTGTTATGAATTATATTGTTTGTTTATTTAATATCTAAAGCAAATTTACCATATCGTAAAGGTATAATACAGGAAGTCAACAAAATAAAATAATCAATTAAAATTTCTATTAGTATAGAGTTAAATATTTCATTATTTAATTAACTATAATATTATATTTAATTAATTTTCTAAGAAAATAAAAGTCAATCAAGATTTTACT